GCTTCTCTTTCTTACCCCAGGATCACAGTTTCACGGATTTACAGGCAGTTGGGTGGCTTAGTGAATCGAGTACCCAGATCTGGAATCAGAAGACTCATCTTCCTGAATTCAAATCAAATTGTTTGAGGCTAGATTTAAACTCAAGTCTTCCTGACTCCAGGCAAGGCACTCTATCCACTATAACACCAGCTACATCTAGTATTTGTACGGTATTTTTATAAGCCATGGGCAGCTATGTGGCTCAGTGGATAAAGCCTAATGTGGATAAAGATTCATCTTCCTGAATTCAAGTCTGGCCTTAGATACTACTAGCTGTGTGACCCTGGGCAAGTCACTTCACCCTGTTTGCCTCAGGGTCTTCATCTATAAAATGAGCTGGAGAAGGAAATGGTGAACCATTTCAGTATCTTTGCCAAGAACACCCCAAACAGGGTCATGAAGAGTCAGATATGACTAAACAACACTACACTGAGAGAAGTAGTATTTTATAACGAAAAGAACACTAGACTTGGACTCAGGAAATCTAGATTTGAATCCTAGCTCTAAAGCTTAATAACTCTTTGACGTTAAGCAGATCCATTGACCTCACTGAGCCTTTTCTTCATCTATAAATAAGGCTAATGATACTTTAACCACCTACCTTATAAGACATTTGAGAGAAAGCCACTATTTAAACTTAAATCACTAATTTGAATCTAAGATATTATTGTTACTTCTGGTAGGACCATATGACCAATTCAGGTGCCTGTAAATCTCATTTTATAGACATGCAAATATCTATATTTCTTGGTTAAAAAAATTATGAGTTATTAAAATGGTTCTTTATCCAATGTTAATATATAATAAAATTTTAAAGGCCAGCATATATATTATGTATATGTATATGGATGTATATATAATATAATCTATTATTTAGATTTTTTTTTCTAACTGCATGAGCCTTGAAATAGAATCAGTTTTTTAAGGCCAGCTCATCTTGATTTAGATTTTTTTCTGTCTGGATGACCCTTGAGATAGTGTGTTTCATGCTTTACTGAAGGTTTATTTATCTGTGTTGATATTACAGCCTGTTCTAACAAATTGCCTTCAGCAGGCTGGAATTTAGTTCTTTCCTAATGAGAGAGGTTTCGGGTTGTTTTTTAATGCTGCATGCCTGCCATCTGTCTAAGATATTTACAAATATTCATATGGGGGAGGTGGTATCAAATTTCTAATTTCTGTGCTGTGGTTCCTCTGGTTAATTATTTTGCAAAGTTAAGTACCTTTATTTGGAGTTGCTTTTATTTGGGAGGTTATAAATCATGACTCTTTAGTGTGAGCCTCTCTCTTCTGTTCAATTTGCAGTGTTTTGATTAGCCATCTTATTATGTGCTAAGGGAGCCAATTTAATTTCATTTTCTTTTTGACACATTCCATTGTCCTTTAGTGGACATCTGTTCATACAATGGTCATCATGTTCCATACAGCTCTGGGTATCATTTTTCAAAGTATAATATTAAAGTGATACCTGTATTTTAGAATGGATTTTTAGCCTTGATAGATAGATAGATAGATAGATAGATAGATAGATAGATAGATAGATAGATAGATAGATAGATAGATGGTTCTTTTTAGCCTCCTTATCTGTTGCACACCTTTTTCTTCCCACATGCCAGATTGCCAGAATAAACTCCACCCTCTCTCCCAACATCAAATCATTATCATTTTCCTCTCACCATGAGAGGGAGTAGAAGAGACACTTCTTTTCTTGTTTAGAAAAGCTCCCCACCTTTGGTTTCAGCTCACCACCTTTTCAATAGGTGCCAAATCCATTGCTTTTCCCTTCTTACTTCTTCCCCCTCTCCCTAGCCTCTTCTTTTTTTTGACCTTGTTAGACTGTAAACTTCTTGAGAGCAGGGATTATTTTTTTTTACCTTCTTTGTATCTCCATGTCCCTGACATGTAGTAGATACTTAGCAAGCCTGTTGACTTGATATTTTTCTCTTCATTTCTTTTCTCCTCAGATTGATTTAACAAACATCTATTAAGTTCTATATACAAAAAAAATGCTAGTAACTGGACCTTATTCCCAAAGTCCCAGTGCAACAGTACAACCTTTCAAGATGGACAGGACAAAAGCTATTATTTTTCTGGGTAGAAAGGTAACCATCATAGCTTATTTCTTCTCCATCCCAAGCCTTCCTCTCCCTTTATTTTGTGGGATTTTTATATATCCAATATTCCTTTAAAATATTCAGAGGCAGGTGACTTAGATTCCCTTTTTTGCCCCTGATTTATGTCCCTTCTCAGGACAGTGGTGATGCTGTCTATGAAGCTATAGTAATTGGCTGTTTTGTAATTTTATAAGTGGCACTGAAAATAGTATCACAAGATAGGAACTGTATGCAAATTATTTGAAATGAGAAGTGTGAAGTACCTTGTATGGAAGGTGATATTAAAGACATCAGACTGGGAGAGAAACATTATATGTTAGATAATTGACCAAGATCAAAAAGAACTCAAGAGACTGGAACAATAGGTCAAATTAAATAATAAGGTGAAAATTAGTAAGAATAGGTTGAAGGAAGGAGGAGGGAGAGGAAAGCTGCTAGGATTGACAACTGAACATTCATGATCTTGGGAAGGGCAATTGTATTTGAGTGGACAGGTTGGCAGTCTGATTGTAAGAAGTAGGGAGGTGAATAAGTTTTGAGATGCTGGAGACAGCAAGGATAGACGATGCCTTCTAGGAGCTTGGCAGTGAAAGGAAAGAGAGATGTAAGATGACAGCCTGAGTGAATGGTAAGTTCACCTGAACATTTTAAAAGAAATCTTTTAAGAAACCTGAACATGTCTGTAGGTTAAGGAGCCAGTAGATAGGGAAAGATTGGAGATGAACAAGAGAGAAGGATGATGGACAAGGTAAACTTCTCCAGGAAACAGGAGGAGATGGGATAGACAGCTTTGGCAAGGAGGTGAGTTACCCCTTTGTCTGAGACAATAGTAAAAAGTAGCAACTCATCTCTTTGCCAGAGTCATTAACGGTTTTGGGGCAAAGGGGTAACGTGCCCAGATATAGACATGAGCAAGATTAGTCTGGTACCATGATGAAAGATGGATTGGAGGGGAGAAAGAGTGAAGGTGAGAAACTATTTTCTTATTGTAAGTTCAAATAGGTAGAAATAAGGATGGGGACAGGAGACCAGTAACTACAGAGAGGTGCCAACATGTGTTGTATCTGCATCCTCAATGTAGAAACCACGTTTGCTACATTTCAGCCTTCATCTGCCAATCTGTACTGCCATGTAACTTCAGCAGGCCCCTGGGCCTCCGGTCTGTGTCTCGACATTGTGGTGTGTGTTATCTGGAGCAGTTCCCTAGATACACACACGCAGACACAACTGTTATGGGGGCAAACGCTGGATGGTCTGGGCCACTGGCGTGCCTGCCCTCCTTGGCAGACTGGGCTTTTTGCCACTGCCACTTGCACCCCCACGCTGCTCAGTGGCATTCACCCAGTTTAAGGAAAGTTTGGTGATGTCTCTGAGGAACAGAGAGTCCAGTGAAAAAAATATTTTAGCTTAAACTGAATGAAAGTTTTCCCATAACAAATATAATGCCAGGCTTAACTTCATGACTTAAAAGCAAATGTTCAACAACAACAAAAAGCTTAGAGATCATTTATAGATGAAGAAACAAATCCATGATGTTAAGTGACTTGTCTAAGGTCACCCTAGCTCTTAGGCTTAGAACATATTCAGTCAACAAGCATTTTCTAAACACTTACTTTGTACCAGGCATTGAATAACCCGCTGAGGATACAAAAAAAGGCAAAAAACGGTGCCAACCTATAGAAGCTGATATTCTAGTGGGGGAGACAATATGTAAATGTATAAGATACATTCAGAGTAGGTCTTCTAATTGTTAGGATAATGCTGTAATATAAATTCAGAGTTTGGGTGTTATTACCTTTTACCACCCTTATTATCACCCATTTGAACTAATTGTAAGAAAATAGCTTTTAAATATGTCTTCTTACATTTACTCTTTCTCTTCTCCATCTTGTTACTGAATAAGCAATTTTCCTTTCTCATTTTATAAGTCACTTTTGTCAAAGGCTAATTGCTTTTTAAAAAGTTGTTGTGGGGCAGCTAGGTAGTACAGTGGATAGAGCACTGACTCTGAAGTCAGGAGGGCCTGAGTTTAAATCTGGACTCAGAGACTTACTAGCTGTGTGATCCTGTGGTACATGTCGTCTTAACCCCAAGTACCTCCAAAAAAAAGTTGTTGAATTCCTAAGCCTGAGAAAAAGTTAACCAGAATACCCATCACATCTGACACTCCAAAGCCCCTACTGGCAGTGGCTAGAACAGTTTTCTTTATTCCACAAGTTAAAACATGGCTCCAGGGCTTCCTTTCAGCCAGTCCCCCCAGGTTTTTGGCCTTGCTTTGCCCTTCTTTCCTGTTCCTAGCTTCCTACTCCTAGGCTTCTTTTTTACTTGAATTCATCTCTATTATTCCTGCTGTTCCAAGGGGAACATCTTCCTCTCCCTTCCTGACCCCTGCTCACAAGCTCTCCTGAACTTTTGGCTCTGATGAGAGACGGTGGAATCTTTTTGTGAAGGCGTGCAGTTCATTCCATGCCTAGTTGCTCTGAAGGTGAGCCAAATAGCAGGAGACACAGGTGGGACACCCCATGGGCCTGTGTTCCTCTACCTCCTTCTGCTACCCTCAGACTTCACTCCTGACCCACTAAAGTAGAACCAAGAGAGTTGACATTTCCACATCAGTTTTCAAACTCTTGGGGAGGGGGTGGCAGGGGAGAAAGGAAGCGTGGACTAAGTGGGAAATAATGCAAACGTACTAGAGGTTTCAAAGTAAAACGCCATCTGTGAAGAGACGTCATGATCAGGAACAATGTGTGATGAAGTGGTGTGCTGAACTTGGCTTGTTAAAAAGGAATTGCTTTGTGTAATATGTTTGTGCTGATTCAAACCTGTTTCTCTGTCATTTCCTTATAGCCCTGGAAAGAAAAATATCAATGCGACAAAGCCGAGAGGAGCTTATAAAGCGAGGGGTCTTGAAGGAAATCTATGATAAAGGTAAGAGGAATCAGTCTTCTTTACAACTAATAAATGGAGTCATGGCATCTGTGGATGTGTTTTCATGGAATCTCAGTTAGAGGAACCTCAGAGGTCATCTGGCCCAACTCACTCTTGTAACATGACTTCCTTCTATAACATTCTGTCCATTAAATAGTCTTCTACCCATGGTAGGGATTTCACAGCTTCCTGAGACAGTCCATACCACTTTGGAAAGTTTAATTTTTAGTAAGTTTTTCCTTATGTCAAGTCAAGAGGCAATGTGGAGTAGTAGATATTGAGCTAGTCTCAGAGTTGTAAACTCATGGTTTCAAATCTGACCTTAGATACTCACTAGTCAGTGTCTGACACATAGTAGACACTGAATAAATTGATTAATTACATCACTCTGGGCAAGTCATTTAGCCTCTCTGTGCCTCAGTTTTCCCTCCTGTAAAAAGATGGGATTGTACTCCATGGCCTCCAGATGCTCTAAATTTAAGGTTCTATGTATGAGTCATGCTATTCCCTTCAGCCACTTACATCCATTAGTTCTCTGGGGCCAATCAAAACAAATCAGATCCATTTTTCACATGCTGGGCCCATAAAGATATAAAGATAGCAATTGTTTTCCAGAGAATTGTCTCTTCTTTAGGCCAAATAGCCCAGTTCTTTCAACCAGTCTTCCTGTAACATGATTTCAAATGCCCTATTGGCCTTTTTCTTAATTAGCTCTGGCCTATTGATGCTCTCTCTAAAATATGGCATGCAGAATTGAACCCAGTAGTCCAAATGCAATCTGACAAGGACAGAGCACAGAGGAACTATCTGATTCCGACTTCTCAAAGGCTGTGAAAAGCTTCAAATACAGGGCTGATAAGGAACAGTGTCAATGTGAACTGTAAGCCTAGAGAGGCTCATTATCAGAAAGCTGGCCAAAGTGATGAATTTTTCTAACCGTACCACCTCATGAAGGCTGCCTCCTGAGGCATGGAGGGGTTGTGATCCTTGTTGGCAGAAGCAGTTCCCATACTGATGATATCATACATCTTTTGCCAGACTTAGTTTCATTTAGTCAAGTTACTTTATGTAAGGATTTACAGTACTAAAATATTAAAGAGACAGTATAATGGAAGAATGGTTATGGACAAGAATTGTACAAACTAATTTGGCCATAGTATATTTTGAGGTTTAGAACATACTGATGAAAAAAAAATATAAGGGGCAGCTAGGTGGCACAGTGGATAGAGCATTGGCCCTGGATTCAGGAGGACCTGAGTTCAAATCTGGCCTCAGAACATAACACTTACTAGCTGTGTGACCCTGGGCAAGTCACTTACCCCACTGCCTAGCCAAAAAACAACCCAAAGCAAAAGAACATACTGGTGGAACCCATAAATGCTAGTTTGGAAGACCTTAGAGCAGGGATGGGGAACCTGCAGCCTTGAGGCAACATATGGCCTTCTAGGTCCTTGGGTACAGCCTTTTGACTGAGTCCAAGTTTTAGAGAACAAATCCTTTATTAAGGAGATCTGTGAAGTTTGGATTCAGTCAAAGGGCCGCACTTGAGGACCTAAAGAGCCACATGTGGCCTCAAGGCCACAGGTTCCCCAACCCTGCCTTAGAAGATAGAAAGGAGTATCCCAGGATAAGGGCAATGGAGAAAATCTGGGGGCAATAATAGAGGAATTTCAACCAAATTAGAATATGCATTAAGTATTTTGGGTTTAGACATAATTCCACACTTAGTATTTTTTTTTTTGGCTAGGCAATGGGGTTAAGTGACTTGCCCAGAGTCACACAGCTAGTAAGTGTTATGTGTCTGAGGCCAGATTTGAACTTAGGTTCTCCTGAATCCAAGGCCGGTGCTCTATCCACTGCACCACCTAGCTGCCCCACACACTTAGTATTTTAAAGAGGACCTCACGAGGACCAATTGAAGGAACTGTGGATGTTTAGTGTGGAAAAGAGCAATCTAAACCTGAAGGGTTGTCATGAGGATGGAGGATCTCCTTGTACACAGAAAGCATAACTAAGCACGATAGGTAGAAGTTATAGAGAGGCTGATATAGTTTCATTGTAAGAAAAATCCATCTAAAAATTAAAGGTATTGAAAGGTAGAACGTGCTGTCTGGGGAAGTGGTGGGTTTCCACTACAAAACTTTAGTCAAAGAGTAAATTCCATTTGTTAGAACTGCTATTGAGAAGATTCTAGTTAAGATAAGGATTAAACTATTAGTGCTTTCCAACTTCTAAAATCTGTGATTCCAATATAGCCAACAGGGAAATTGCCTCATGGCTTTCTTATGGTTCTCTTAAATATAATAAGTTCTGCAAGACACTGCAAGAAATTCTGATAGAGATCACATACTCATATTAAATGCATTCATCTTTTACTAGAAAATAAGCTTCACCTATTTTTTCCCAATATCTAATGACCATACAGTGAAAGAAATGATTATGCACAGCTGGGTTAAAATTAATTGGTTTTGCTTTGAGGGAGATTTGTTGGCAGAGGCTTCCCACAACAAATGTTTAAAAGCCATAGCATCTGGAATTATCTTTATAGATTAGGTATTGGGTTGGAGGGAAATTAATACATTTTGAGTATGAATAATTATGAAGAGAGAGAGAGAGAGAGAGAGAGAGAGAGAGAGAGAGAGAGAGAGAGAGAGAGAGAGAAGGGGAGAGACAGAGAGGAATATTTGACAGGTACTTTGCCTAAAAGAAATACAAGTAAATGATAGAGAAAGTAACAGCTCCCTTAGTGGCAGAATGAAATTGGAGCTAAAAGTAGATTGGAAATTTCCAACATTTTAAAGTAATTTCTAAAATTATTATAGACTACTGGGACTAAAAGGGATCTCAAGGGAAACTGAGTTTATCCCCTTATCTAGAGGCAGAACAGCCCTGAAAACTGCCGAAGTCTGAGGGGTGTTTATGTTGTTGCTAAAAGCTCCCCCAAGGACAAGTCATAATCTCATTGATTCACCCCAGCTCCCTACTCTCTTATATCATCTTGGAGCCCTCTTTAAAAGTCTACCCTAAATATCCCATGCTGCTAGGTAAATTTTTTTCCTTCTGCTTCTATCCTTAGAAAAGAGAAAGGACAGGGAACTGCATAATGATGTATAATGGCCCCCTTAGCGTTCTTGAAGATGAGATAGTGTTTGTAAAGTGCTTTACCAACTGTAAAACGTCATATGAATTTAAACTATTATTATTTATTGCCATCCTTGGAATTGCTCTTATGCAGTTATGTAACTGCATTTCCCTTAACTTTTCTTTTTGCCAACCTCAGTAATTCATTCAGCTTATAGATTTAATAAGAGGAAGCTAATTTAGTGAAAAATTACCCTGTAGAATATTTTAAAGAAATAAAGTTTTACTTACTCTTAAGCATGTATAGTAAACACTAGGCTCCCTAAATTTTGGGTAGTAGAGAACCTAATTTAATGAAATCATAGAATTTCAGAATCAGAACAAAGCTTAGAAATCATCTAGTCACTTTAAGAGATGAGGAAACTGAGGCCCAGAGAATTTGAATGAATTAGAATATTTTATACTGGCAGAATTAGGATGAGGACCCAAGTATCTTGAGCCTTTATTGTCTTTTTACACCACCATCCTGATGCTGCTCCCAAAGTCTTGTTCGTACTTAAAACAGGAGATCTTAATCTTTTTTTGTATTATGGACCCCTTTGGCAGTCTGATGAAGCCTAGGGACCTCTTCTCAGAATAAATGATGTGTTGCATACATTCATAATAAAAGGGAATGATAAATTTCACTAAAAGGTTAGTGAGGGGCAGCTAGGTGGTGCAGTGGATAGAGTACTGGCCCTGAAGTCAGGAAGACCTGAGTTCAAAGCCGGTCTCAGACCAAATACTTGATACTTACTAGCTGTGTGACCCTGGGCAAGTCACTTAGCCCCAATTGCCTAAAAAATTAAAATTAAAATTAAAAAAAAGAACTAGTGTAAATAAAAGGTTAGTGAAAATAAATTTTTCCCCTCTATGTTCACAGACCTCCCCCTTCCTCCTGATGGATCCCAGGTTAAGAACCTCTACCTTTTTTTGGAATAATATTTTTCCAATTTACATTTTAAAAGAATTTTTATCATTCTGTTTTTCAAGTTTTGAGTTCCAAATTCTCTTCCTCTCTTCCTCCCTTATTTCCTCCCTGAGAGAGTAAACAATTTGGTATAAGTTATACTTGTGCAACCATGTAAAACATAATTCCATATTAGTCATGTTATAAAAGAAAACACAGACAAAAAAAGACAAAAAAAAAGTGAAAAATAGTATGCTTCGATCTGCATTCAGACCCCATCAGATCTTTCTCTGGAGGTGAACAGAATTTTTCATCATGAGTCCTCAGGAATTGTCTTGGATAATTGTATTGCTTAGAATAGCTAAGTCATTCACAGCTGATCATCATACAATATTGCTGTTACTGTGTACAGCGTTCTCCTGATTCTGCTCACTTCATTCAACATTAGTTCATGTAAGTCTTTCCAGGTTTTTCTGAAACTGTCCTACTCATCATTTCTTTTTTTTTTTAATTAATTTATTTTGACTTATCAGCAATCCACTTCCTCCCCACCACCCTTCCCAAGACAGCGCACAATCTGATATAGGCTCTACATATACATTCCTATTAAACATATTTTCACATTAGTGATGTTGTAAGGAAGAATTAGAACCAATAGGAGGAGCCACTAGAAAGAAGAAACAAAATTCAACAGAAGAAAAAACTAGCAAATAGCATGCTTCAATCTGCACTCAAACTCCATAGTTCTTTCTCTGGATGTGGATAGCATTTTCTATCACGAGGGCTTTGGATATGTCTTAGATCCTTGTATTGCTGGGAAGGGTTAAGTTTATCAATATTAGTCATCGCACAACACGGCTGTTATTGTGTACAACTTTCTGGTTCTACTTACTTCACTCAGCATCAGACCATACAAGTCTTTCCAGGTTTTATAGCACAATAGTATTCCATTACATTCACAAACCACAAC